GCCAGTCTTGTGACTTGGCACATGATGAGAAATAAAAGTGGCAACTCCTTACTTAGTAGTAAATTACTATTGTGATTTATACAGTGGCACTCATACTGCTGGAAACAATCAACAGGATTCTTGCTGATAATACACATAATTTTCACAAGCCACAAAGCATGTGTCCTTGCAATAGTATCCACTATTCCATTTTAGTATCCAGTATTCCATTTTAAATTATGTTAATGCAGTCTGTAACATGGCCTACATTCAGGATCAGTCTGGCTTGTAGAGGGGACTGAACCTCAAAGAATATTCACCCAATGTAATACCCCATATTCTTGAAACAGATGGACCATGAACCAAAAACTGTTTTAAATATAAGTAATTAGCAGAATACTCCAACAATTCAGCTTTCCATCCTTCCAAGTCAGTTGGTCACTGAGATTTCTTCCCAAAGAAATCTTAGTGACTGACCGCCAAGAGTGTGCAGTACCAAGAGAATGGTCTGCATTGCACATGTTACACCTGGGATCCAAGTTGCTGTATAATCACTGATGATGTACCACTCCTAGAGCTTCTACCAGATGAACAGAATACTCCAACAATTCAGCCTTCCATCCTTCCAAGTCAGTTGGTCACTGAGATTTCTTCCCAAAGAAATCTTAGTGACTGACCGCCAAGAGTGTGCAGTACCAAGAGAATGGTCTGCATTGCACATGTTACACCTGGGATCCAAGTTGCTGTATAATCACTGATGATGTACCACTCCTAGAGCTTCTACCAGATGAGGACAGTTTCGGAAAGGATCCACCTCTGCAGAGATCCTACAGAGGAGATTTAAAGTACCTCTTACTTCCTCTTTCTGTCTCCTTTAGCATGATAACACTGAAAGACCAAGTAAAGTGCCTCATTATAATACAGTATTTGCAAGGCAGAAGCTGTGCTATCAAAGAAACCAGACCTTCCTCTCAGTCATTTGGGATCAAGGCCACCAAAATAAAAGTAGGTGGCAAAGACACTAACAGGCATATGTTAAGGTTACCCCATGTTTTTTTGCAGATTCCTTTAGTTCTGACATCTGACGGGGAGCAATGATTCATGAAAGTATTTATCAACTTCACCTCCTGGGATTCTGCAATATTTAAGCAGTTCATACCACAATTTGCATTAACCAGTGAGGTATTATTAGGCATACGCTACCAACCAAAACTCCCAGATTAGACCACTAGATTATAACACAGTTAGGCTATAAAACAGATATGAACATTTCCACTCTGCAGCCTTAATCCAGTCCAATCCCAATACAGTTCACAAAGAATCTGAGGTATGTCCTGCTCACACTTCAAAGCCCCACTGCTCAAGATTTCCCCATCCAACATTATTCACCCTCTTAAACAGGAACAGAGTAGGGGAGAAGGGTATTCCACATGTTGTCCTTAATCAATTATTTCCCTACCACCACGGTTCATTTTGCAGATTGAGAAGGGCAAGGGCACAGAGGAATCCTCTGATCTCTGCTCACCAATAACAATAGGAAGCTACATCCATCCCACATCCTCCACTGTGTAAAAGCATCTTCTGAAACTCATGTACTCTATGATAGGGGCCATTCCTGCAATCCATGCTGGTGTATACATGCAGCTGGGCTCCTCACTCACCTTGCCCTGTACTGCAGCCAGAAAGCAAATGATATTTACGGACTGGTCATACCTGCCATCATCCAACTTGCACAGCTCCAAAGCACAGAGATGCATCCCCACACCACAAACCAGTTCTCCACCCCAGTCTTAAGGAAAATGTAACTATTGTATAGGGACAAGTAAATGTGTTTGTACTCCACAACTAAGATGGACTTGTACAGACTGTTTTTCAAGGTTCATAGGTCCAGTGATATATATGAATTGGATTCTCATATAAATATAAACCTCTTCATGAGACATTCTCATATCAATACCCACCCCCAAATACACTTTTGAACCCAGCAAACATTTATCCTCTGGACAATAACTTAAACTCTTTCCATGAGTAACTAATTCCCTCCACCAGATTCCATCTTATACTTGAGCAAATTCTAACCAATGTCACTCGATGCGTCCTACTATCTTATCCAATATGAGAGATAGTAGCATTTGCTGCCTCAACAATATTATAAACTAACTAAGTTTAAGTGCAAAGGCCTGCAATTGTCTGAATTCACCCTTTCATAACCCAAAGACAAAAATATAGCATTGAAACTGATTCTCCACTCCACAGCCAAAAAGCCATTTTAAGCCTAGAAGTCCTCCTGCATGCAAACACAAGCTTCCTTTTGAAGCAAGTATTTATTTATACTTGCTCTTCCTTCCTTATTACATCACTAATAAGTCTCAGTACTGCACAGAATGCCTCTTTCTGTTTTAACTCCCCCCCAACCTTGACTTTATGCCGTAGCCAGTCAAACAAATCAAGTATTTGTACAATACCAGAGGTGTGCGGTGAAGGTGATATGGATATTTTATTTGAGTTATTACATTAATCAGCCTCAAACATATTATTAAAAAAGAAAAACATCAGATTACTATTGAAAACTCTGTATCTTTTCCCAGCCCAGGAATTTTAGCATGGCAGCCATTCTGCTCCTCAAATGGCCAAACCCATTGGAACAAGCTCACTGGGCATTTCATGTGAAGCGGTGCTGATTTGTTCCAACACCCATTCAGTACAATGGGGTTAAGAGATTCCCATGGCAGCCAGCCTAGCATGTGGTACAGCAGCTATCCAGTCCAGTTAACAGAGGAGTGGGGATCATGCAGCTTTCCAGACCAGCCTCCACCAACCTTAGCCAGAGCAGCCAGTAGCCAACAATGACAAGAGTTGTAATCCAAAAGTATCTGGAAAGCTTGTTAACAGGTGGCAGTTGGAGCCTACACCAGCGATTCCCAACCTTTTTCCTTGACCCCCTTTTATAATAGCCAAGTAACCTGCAACAAACATACCCATATTTGCATAAAAAGGCATTTTTAATGGGTAAAGTTATCCCTTCTCAGAAAGTAAACACTCCTTTCTCCCCTAAAAGGCCTGTTTCCCTTACATACACATACATACGACTATAATATTCTGCTCCAAAAAGTCAAAGAAGAAATGATTTAACAAGGGCTACAAACACATATAAGGTGATCCACAACCCCCCAAAAACACTTGGTGACTCACTGAGTGAGGGCAGTAACCCCCAGGGTGGAAAACAGTGGCCTAGACCATCATTTGTGCAGCCTGCAATGTTACTAGAGCAAGCCTAAGAGCATCAACATCCTCTGTGACTTAACACTGGATAAAAACTGGTAACAGCTTTCAATGTACGGTAATGACAAAACAGTAAGAGTCTGTCTGCCAATTAGTAAATGCAACTCACAGAGTGGTCCCTCTCTAGTATACCAACGAATTATAAGAAAATTATTACCAATTGCCTTGCACTTATCTGCAAGATGGCAATACAAGCTGTAACAATCTTGCTGACAGGACAAAGAGGCTGATAGCGAGCGGTAGGGCCCTTTGAGAACGCCATGAAAAACGGAAAGAATGGTTCCATGAAAACTTAGCTAGAAACAACAACAAAACATTCCTGAGAATTATTCTAATATTTTTGCAAGACCAAGCACACTGCACACCTGCCATCTGATACATGTCTGTAGAAACTGAACATTTCAGCAGCTAGAAGAAAAAGAAAACCACTGACAGCAGAGTATTACCCGAACAATTCTCAATCAGTGCAAGATCTTTGGTAAAGGTACAGGGTTTTCTCCCCCAGCCCCCAATTCTAGTAAAGATTGCTTCTGTTCCTTCCAACACATTTCGGAGATTGGATCTGGAGTCCATGCCACCGCCCCCCCTTCAATTCCAGAAGTTCAGGGAGTGGCCCACAAGGGCCCCTCACGTGGCAACCCAAGGACAGACAAAACGGTATTTAAACAGCAAGCCGAGTTCTCAACATACTTCACAGAATGCCATTCGAATTGCAACAGCACAAGTCTCAGTGATAGCTCAAGACAACACCAGGGGATCACACCGCAAATTTTTGGCGTCACACTCTACACAATATAGAAACATGATTCAATATTTTCAGAAACTAGAATGTATAAAGACTAGCTTATCTAGTTAATAGGTATTAGTAGTGTGTGCACTAATGGGGTGGCATGCAAATCAAGTAATTAAATAATTAAATATGAAGTGATAGAAGGCACACTTTTTCTACTTCAAGCTGAATGTTCAAATGCCAGCCTGCAAAACTCCTGGCATACGCACACCGGGGGGGGCGGGGGGACAGACACTTTGTCAGGTAGAAAGCTTCAACCTATTAATTTTTGGCATTATAATAGAAGTTGGTCCCACCTCCAACACTTATTTGCAGCCTCACCCTAAACTGTCCAGGAAAAGTTTCGAAACTGAAGTTCTACTGACTGTATAAACCAGAATTCAGATTTAAGTGTTTAAATTACATTAAAGTGTTTATATGAATCCTGCCTCTCAGAATTCAGTGGTTCAACCATTACCGAACTAAGAAAAAAGCTCACAACCATTAGTAAAAGCAGAAACGCAAACAGAAAGGCAAAAGGAATTCGGATAGCCATATGCAAGACCAACCACTCCCTGGCTGGCCACATCACTGCCTGTGGTGGCGAAGTCCAGGTCACTGTGTCCCTAGGAAAGCAAATCCCATTTGAGTACAATCACATTGTTATAAAGAAACACAACCACTGTCACAGGAAGCAGGGAAAATTGTGGGGGGCAACTACAGCAAGCCAGGAGGTATAGGAAGATATCAGATTTGATCACTCTTCCGTTAAAAAGCTCCTCAAAGGAAAAAAAAACATGAAAATTTAAAAATAGGTATGGCTTCCCAGAGTTATTCCTATGTGTAGTGCAAAAAATATCATATACAATTCCGGTTCCATGCCTAATGCCTCTTTGCCTTCCAGCATTCAGAGAGGCACCAAAATGGCAAAAAGGCCCTCCCCTCCCCCCCCCATACCATTAACACTTACCAAGCTTTTCCACCAATTTCAGCATGACGCCACCAATGTGGACCTCCCCTGTGACCCTCAGTGTGACATCCCTGTTGAGGTCCGTGACATGGACATTTAATTCCCACGTCCCATCCGCGTAGCAGCCATCTGGCATCCGTATGCCGTCCAGAGCCATCGTTCTCCTTTCCTGCAAGCAAGGAGCAGAGGAAATGGCATTCATCAGCTAAGCTGCTCACTGTTCCCTCCCCTGCTTCCCACTTGAGCAGAGAAAATCACGGTGCGGGGGGGGGGGGGTTCAGAAGAAGGAGGAAACTCCCAGGAAGGCAAAAAAGGCAACTTGGGACAGGCAGCAACAGAGAGAGCTCCAAAGTCAGCTCAATTTACAAAGAACTAAGTCCGGCAGTTGGGAGGGGAAGGCAAAGCCAGGCAGATTTCCAGCTGCCCAACCATAACTGGGACTATGCAAGCTTGAAGCAAAGGCTCACTGCAACCCCATTTATCCTAAATATGCCTGGCATGTGTAAGAAAAAGAATGACTACTATCTGACATCTCACCTACCCAATATAACAATATTTTCCTTACTGTCTGTCTCCAATCTCGGGCAGACATACCTCATCCCTACCACCCGCTTTCCAGCTAGCCACGAAATAGTGACGGGACGTATCTAATCGGTGTTATGTGCCATGGATGAAATTCATACACATCCTCCAAAATTTCTGTTTAAGAGGTGTTAAAACTATTCAGCGAACAATGGAGCCGCCTCCGAAAGCAAATGGCTTCATTCGCAGAAAACCATCTCCTCGATTCTGTGTCCTTTAAACACACTCCCCCTCTTAGATAAACAGTTATATCTCTTTTGGCATAGGCACTAATGACAAGTCTTACAGGCTTAGGGGAATACTTTTAAAAGGCCATGTTAACTCCAAGCAGGGACTTAAAAAAAAAAAAAGATATTTTTAACCCTGGAAAGAAACAAGGAGGACGGGTGGCTGTTTAATGTGGAGCAGAAAAAAGGGGGGGGGGGGGGGAGTTTAAAAATTCCAAAGTGTAAAAGAGCGAACAAATAAGGGGAAAAAGAGAGACAACCGGGCTGCCTTGGAGGAGCGGGACCCTTGCAAGCAGGGCAACAAAGGCGTCTTTGCCTTGTGTGTGTGTGTGTGTGTGTGTGTGTGAGAGAGAGAGAGAGAGAGAGAGAGAGAATTGTGTGAGTGTAAGAGAATATGTGTGTGTGTGAGTGTGTGTGAG